GCCTGGAGTGTATGAATCCTTGGTGATTGGAAACTTCAGATAAAGAATTTAAGGAAAGGATATCTTGTATCATTAATAACGTGCTTCCTCAAGTCCTTGCTCCCTACGTTTCCGTGCATCTTACGTGGGCAGGACAAAGACACAAGGAAAAGAAGTGAGGGAAATGACAGTCTGTATAAGACACATGAGAGGTACCCAATGTACGAAAGCTTTGCTGAATGTTGCAGTTTGCAACATGACCACTAGCTGTCACTGGATCGCCCATACTGCACCTTTAAAAAGTGGACAGCCACTGACATTGCCTCTAGCATTTCTGGGATGCTATTATTTTGCTTAATTGTGCTTTGGTATTTAGTTGATACCTGGGTAAAAATCAGGCATAGCTTTCCTTCATAGCTTTGACAATGTCTGATGTCATCAATAATTTTGTTGTCACAATGAAAATGATACCACTAGGACAAAGAAGATGACAAATAGTAAAAACAGCAGAACAGGCAGTAAAGCAAATAGAGGAATAGCCATCAACCTCTCCACAACAGAAGTCTCGATTGACCTTGACCATAACACAATGTAGCCACAAGATACACTTAATTTTTTACGTAAAGGGTTTACATTACCAGACTGCCCTTGTCATTGCTCTGTATATACAGTATACTCACGTAAAGTCTTTCCTACTACAGGAGCTCACAGGTACAAAGCAGAGGTGGGAAAAGAGTATGTGCAAGCAGATGAAGGCAGAAGATGTGACTATGTAGTGGAGAATCGGTGCAGAGGAGTGGTGGTAGCAGACTGAGGTGGCGACTACACTAAGAGAAGAGGATGGGGAGCAGGAAAAGGACAGAGTCGAGAACAACTCAGGGACAAACAGCAGGTACTATAGCAGGAGTCAGGCCGGTGTCATTAGTATCTTAGGAACTCACAGGCGAATGGACTGGAGTTAGAGTCTAACAGGATAGCTGGCAGTTCAGGGATAAACAGCAGGTTATGCTGGACAGGAGTCTAGATGCATTGCCGGTGACTTAGTACTCACAGGTGAGGGAACAGGTGCTGGAGTATAACAGGGTGATTGGCAAGTCAGAAAAACAACAGATTCTGCTGGACAGGAGCCTCACCGGCATTGCTGGTGTTGTGGGAATTCTCAGGTGAGCGAACAGGAGTTAGCAAGTAGCAGCGTGGCTGGCAGATCAGGAGCAACAGCAGATAGTGCTGAACAGAAAATCTCAGTGGTGTTGGTGTTTTAGGCACTCGCAACAGGTAATGTGGGGCAAAAGGCGCCAGGGCCGCTGAGAATCTAGGAGCCCACAGGACAGGAGATGAAGGTAGAAGTGCAGACCACGTCCAGAATCAGTGCCGATAAACAGGACAGATAAGCAGGGTATGGTGAGCCTCGAGAGCGGAGTGAACAGTGTCGTCAAAACATTAACTTCATCAATGGACCAGCAAGTGACTGAGGGAAATAGGGAGGTATATATGTGTTGTAGTCTGGTAGATAATGAGCAGCAGGTGAGAACAATGAACGGCGATTATGTACTGGAGTAAAGCTGGGGCAGAGGAGGTGACGCAGGAAACTAAAAGCACTCAAACTCAGAAGCGGAGCTAAACCATAACATACAATGACAAAGGTCATGGTCACCATCTTAGTTTTCTGTTAGCATACCAATGTAAGCTTATTAAACTACACAAAAAGTACTACTGATGGTGATGGGAATGTTACTGATTTTGCAAGTTTACATGGTCATAAACTAATATAGTGCACTAATTGAAATTTCACCTGATGGTTCCATTAGTTGAAAAGTTAAGACATCACCAAGGTCATTAGAAAACATCATCTGGCAGGTATCTGTGCCTTTAGCAAATTTTTCACCAGTCTAATAAATGCTGAGATATATCACTGGTCAAATGAAAACTCTGGCCTGCCAGTAGTAATAAATTCAGTTTTGTAGACTCAGTAATCTTTCATCTCGGTTAAATTTTCGATTTGATTCATTGGGCTGCAGAGGCCAATTGTCAAGACATGAATAGGGTCAATTAAGTATATAATTCATCTATTCTTATTATGAAAGTAATCTTGGCCTCAACAGACTAATAATATAAGACAATATAAGTATTTATGTGCAGTAAACAAGAAGTGATGCACACTTGGGCCAGAATCCTCTAGTCTCCCATCTATGGTAGTCATTCAAACTCATGCCCTGTATGACTTTGCTATAGCTAAAATGTAAGGTTGCTTAAGATGCAATGTATTGATCATTTGTTGAAGACTGGCCAGTGTTGAAAGAGGAGTTGGTAGGGGAAGGGCCTAGGATATGAAGACAATATCATGAGCCTTCTGGATGTGTTACAGGCCTAATTATGTTAGGTGCAAACTTGTTGATAGCATGAGGGAATGGATAACTATCTTGTGCTACCTATGTCAGGAGCAATCACAATATTTTTAAAATTTTAGCAAGAAAGAGAACTGAGTTTATCTATTTTCCTAATAATAGTCTGACTGCATTAAACCCTCCTAAAGAGTCTCCTGACTGTGAGGATGTCAGAGCAAGAGGAGACGCAGCAGACACCTGGCATGCATCCCAGAGCCTTTCATTTCATGTTGGGAACCATCCTCTCTACCAGTGGGCCCTTTCAGCAAACAGCAGTATGTGCCAAGACCACAATATGCCCCGCAGTCAAAGTCTCACACTGACTAGGCACTTCATTAGCTTATAATGTGTGGTCAAGTGATAACATACCTACACTCCACATAGGAGGTTTATTGCTAAATCACAGAGAAGTACACAATCATACAAAATTCCATTAAATCAAGTAAACATCAAAACATTAAATACACTAGCATGGCTTTCAAGCTTTTTTATGCAGCAGAAGTTTATTAACGTGGCAGCTAAAATACATGTCAAAGAAGGCAGCGTGAGAAATTAGCTTGCACTAATATGAAAGAG